TAAAATAAGCTAAGTACTTTCCAGAGAAACGTGTGGATGTCTGCAGTCAATCTGCTTTGACTGGACCTTAAGACATCCTGTATTAGGCCACTCAGAACCCAGACAAGATCTCAAAGTTTTTCACATTTGCTAGTTATTTCAATATGTGGCTATAAAATATAAGCCATGCTAGCAAAATACCTTAGTATTGACATAAGCAGCTCTGTTGTTCATGACTCCAGAGTGGAAGTCTTGTATTTCACTCCTTAAATAGTTCATAGCAGTCAAATGAGCTTGTGTTGGTAATCCTGGTGTCCAGTCCAAATTACAGCAAGTGAAATTGCATTCTGCTTATCTAAATTCCCCGCACAGTATCTATATTCAATTTTATACTTGGCTAGCACTTAAAGTGTTAGGTGCTGTTCCACACCAGAGGTTCTTGCCTGTCAGTGTGATTATTATCCATGTCTTGTGCTTATTCAAAGGTTTTTTGGATTTTGCTTTCACTTATTTGAATAATTACTAGGGAAAACATTGCAGAAATGCAGTTGTACAGAGAGATCATGGTAGGGAAAAATCTTTCCCAACTTATCACCTTAAATATACGAAGGTTAAAAATACTTCTTACACATTTAGAAGTTTCATCTATCAAAAATGATACCTTACTCATGACACTTTAAGCAGCACCAAGGTTACTTGCAATCTTCAATAGTCAGTGTATGGTAGTAGTAGTTATAAATAGGTATTGAAGAGAAGGTGTAAAGCTATTCAGTGTGAAGCTATTCAGTGATACTGCTATTTTCAAAACAAACAAGACGGAACCAAATGATGCTTTTCTTAGGATGAACTTGAGATTTAGTGAATAAAAACTCATCTCACAAAAACCTAACGGAGGAATGGTTCACTCATACTTTGCAAGCAGTATTTAGGAAAAAACACAAGAAATTAAATTATTAGAATTTTATTTGTTACAAATTATCACAATCACAATTAATATAAAACAAAGCACTGAGGAAACATGACTGTTAGATACAAGATTGGTTAAGGTGTAAAAGCCTCATCCAAGGCTATTACTAGAAAACCTGTGACTGTATACTAGAGAAAAACATTTCTATGCATCAAACACCAAGTGAAAGAGAATAAGCAGCAGAGTGTAATTGACAGGGATTAAAACACCTTCTTGTTATACAAGTTTCTGAAGGAAATGGAAGTTAAAGTATCATTTCTACCTGTGAGTCTTGTTTTGACTAGACCTGTTTACAGTTAGGTATTAAGAAAAGCTTCAGCATAAAACACCAGTCCTCATTTTAACTTATCCATGTTGTCCATACATTAGACAAGCTATTCCCCAAAACATTTAGATTCTAGTCATGAAACTTCACACATTCTCTTACACTTGCTGCGTAAGGCTAAAGAAAAGCCACTGAAGGAACATGAGGTTGCATTATTGCTTTGTAACAAGAACTTGGATGAGAAGTCTTTATTGAGCTCTGAATAACACACTGCTGCATCACTAAACAATTAAGAGTTTAAATATACAATTCTTTTACAAAGTGTACACTGTTATACACTTCAAGGCTTTATACAAGATATACAGGATTTTCATACTCCATAGTCCATCATTGTCTGGGCACATGGGTAGGTACAATGCTCCAAGCAGTCCGTAACTGTCATGGCAGAAGTTCCTGAAAAAGAACAGAACATCATTTATTTGTATACATCCTAAGAACAGCAATTATGGATTCTCTGAAAACTATCAGATTATAAGCAGTGGGATCAGGCAATTACATGTATAATTAATGTGTGGAGATTTTTGGAAACCATTGCAGAAGCTACCATTGAAATTAAGTGCAAATGTGATAAAGCAGTTCAATAAAGGCAAATTAATGATATGGTTAATTACAATCATTAACCAGTTACATACAGCACTTGACCAATGTAAGAATACAAAACCCTACTAAAGTGGTAAAACACTTCAAGGTTAGTTTGTCACAAAAGAAATCTGTCACCTTCTACACTGATATATTTTAGGAACTTAGAAACCTTTTTATATTATTTTTCCTTCTGTTCAACATCTGATGGATTTCATTTCCAAGAACAAAACTCCCCAAAACCCCCAGAAATGCAATAGCAGACACTGTCTAGTGCATGTTATTATACGTACTGTCTAGAGAAGTTTTGTACTGCAAATGGGTAGTTTCTAACAGTATCTAACACCAGTAGTTTGAACTGATGTAGCTTATTGTACACACATGTACAGGACATGAAAACTGATACAACTTTTTATGGGTGACTAAACCACATTTTCTTAGGAGAAATAGAATATATCTACGTGAAGCATTGGAAGAAGGAAGACTTGTAGGACCATAGAATCATTTGGGTTGGAAAGGACCTTAAGATCATCCAGTTCCAACCCCCTGCCACGGGCAGGGACACCTTCCACTAGACCAAGTTGCTCCAAGCTCTGTCCAAACTGGCCTTGAACACTGCTAGGGACGGGGCACTTCATGGATTCAAAATTCGTATCACTGTTATGCTCAGTATAGAGACTTTCAGATGTATCATATTTAGATGTAACTCATTAAAAGAACAAAATTGGACTCAAGCTTTTCCATCAAGTTGGGCCACAGCTACTTAATGGAAGCACCACATGCACGATGGGATGCACACCTGGCACACGACCAAAACAATCACTTCAACAATAGGTTGAGCGTGCTCTTAGGAAGGGGATTTTCTTTCCATTTACTCATGTGACCTGCAACATCCAGTCTTGTGCACCCTGTAACACAATGGTTCACTCAAACAGCCTCTGCATGACCTGAGAGGGACACACTTTTCCCCCCTAAAAGGGAACCTGAAACAATTTAAGGGTTTATAGGACTTCAGAGCAGAGTAGCAGAGAAGTGCCACAAATGCAGTCTGATAAATTCATCCTTCATACAGTAGACACTAAGATGGCATATAAACCCCCTAGAGCTGGATAACTATTACAGAATTCACACCTGACACTTGTCTACTAGTCATCCTTGCTACCAGGTATTTTAGTTTCAACCCATCAAGTTTCATTGCATATGGTTAATATTAAACTTCACATTTGCAAATGAAAACTTTTTATGTCTGAATGTAACAGATCATGTGTGATTTAAGATGTGAGGTATTTATATACTCAGTTTTGCCAGAGCAGTTCCAGCAGCTGGTATTGAATTTTTGCCATTTGAGCCCAAGAGGGCGGAAATCTTCTCCGAGTTCTCCTAAACTCAGAAGGGTCTCACACTAAAGCAAATTGTTACAAACCCATTTTGGATGGACAAAAAGCTCCTTTAGTCTCTAACAGTAGTCTCAAACTTACTGTGGTATTATACAGAGGCAGTGCAACATATGCAGTATTTCACAGTATAGAACTCTAAGTCGTGTCAACTAAAGGCACTGAGATCATGAGTTTAGCAGGAAAAACAACTACTCCAAGTAGGAAACAAAGAAAAAATCTGCTGTACTTAAAACACACACAATCTGAGCATAAATACAACATTTCTTTATATATTGAATCCACTAGAAAACGTGGAGCTCGCTATTCTTCAGCTAATGTTTCTCAGTGGAGTTCTCCATCTGTGCCAAAAAACAGTCTGATCCTTGTACAGAAATGCTTAACTTACTTAAAAAGTAATTCTACAAAATGCTTTCTTCAGCTTTGGGAAACCATATTAGAAGTATTTGCTGACCAGATTAGAGTCTCGAATTCCCATTTGAACACTACCAGCATAAAATCACATTTGTTTTTGTTCATCTTCCTCTGTCCAGTGAAATACTTATTTGGTTGACATGTTGTCAAAGCTACATATACCTTTCAATGAACAGCCAGAGGACAGTATCCACACACTGGGACAGTTCATGTCCTATTTAATGGTATTTTTTCACACCAGAATTGAACAAAGCCAATGATTTCTGCTGATCTCTGACTCAGTACCTGTAATGATTACGTAAATTAAAGCCTTGGGTATAAAGACTTAAGACCCTCATCAAATGCTCCATTATTCATGTGATAATTTCACAGATGAGTGAAAATACCTACCAAAGCATCCAAAGATTCAGGTTTTTGTTCTTTTGGCTGTCCAAGGAGGTGGGTTTCCTGACAAGAGAAGAAAAAGATACTTTTACTAAGTTTCAAAGGCCTTCAAATAAAACTAAACAATGTAAATCAAACTATAATTAATAGAAACTTAATAATAAAAAGCTTTAGATAACATTTGTAATGTTTAAGTTACTCAAATTTATGGGAAAAGAATATATTACAAGCTACTGGTTATGAGGTTTTACAGTTGTTTAATAGGGCATAGTTTGACCAAATTTAACTAGCTAAGCTAAGGCTTTTTAGACTACTGATACAAATTAAACGTTTTAAAAGGAGAATTTAGGGGTCCTCAAAGTCTTTCCTACATTCTAAAAGGAAACTTTCTAAGTTGTAGCCTCCCTGCTTTTATTGCTTATATTAAAGATAAATTAAGTGAGATTAAAATCTGATTTGATTTATTTACCTTTGCAAATGAAGACCGTTTTAAGGGTTACACATCCTCTGCCTCTGACGAAAGCGACCTCAATTAGTCAAGTCAGAAAGTCTTTAAAAGCTTTGTGTTTATTGCTTCCAGCACGGAACGAGGTGGTCATTAACGTACCAAAATGCTCTTAAAAATTCCAAAGTTGCACTAGTGAAAAAATGCTCAACAAGATGAAAAACTAATCACAGCTTTCCCAGAAAATTCAGCTATTTTAAACCATTTTTAACCAAAAAAATAAAGATTTTGATTTAATGTGGCACTCAAGCAGATCCATAACATTTGGATACTTTAACCAGCATTTATATCTACTGTAAGTATATATAGATAACATTTAGTTTTATAAAGAAGTGGTGCAATGTTTAATATAAGCCTTTTATGGTGATCACTGTTAAACATTTCTCCCTGTTTACTACTATTTATGGAGTTTTAGTATCAGATAAAGCATAAAATTAATCTCACACACACTGATTTTCTTTCAAAAGTTTATTTAGTATCAAGCAAGGGCAAAACTTTGCTTAACACTACAGAACATTTCAAGACTTGAGTTACAAAATACCACATTATTTGCATTTGTAATTGGCTTCCCTTTTTACGCATGTTTGCAAAGAGAGAATCTAGCAAATGGCTGAAAAGAAAAGCTAAAAACTAAACTGTTGAAAACCTTTAAAATAAAAGGTTACGCTTATGTTAAAAGAACGGACTAACAGATTTAGTAAACCTATTTTTCTGTTTAACACTAGTTAATAAAAGGTTATTTTTTGATCACCTATTTTTTCTCAAATACAGTTTGGAAATAACAAAAAGTTCCTCATTTTACATTTCTTTCTGTCCAGGTTGTTCTTTCAACAAAATATTTTAAGGTTCAGTCCATCCATTCAGGTTTTTTTATGCGCTTTGATTTAATAAAAAGGGATTGTTCATAGAAAAAATTACTTTGAACAGTATACAGGACTGGTGGAGATTGGATATTTCACAACATCAGACAGTACAATCAGTATCTGGCATATGGCTGGTCTCTGTAGACTCCTTTTGTTGTCCTTGCAGGAGGTGCCTTGTGTCGTGAGTTGGTCCATTCTTCTTGCCCTACAAGAAGGGAAAATATAGTTAGACCCTTTCCAATATTCTCAGATGATACAGTTGTTTTTTCTTTGAATTTAATAGTGACATTTTATTTACTGAAACCAAGGTGTACAAAGTCTAACACTTGACCCCAAAAATCTGGGTACAACACATATATGAGCTATCGCACAATGCTTTTTCAGCACATAACAGCAGGAAGTGAGACAGGCTAATGGCAAAGATATTTAGGGCTCTGGCATTCAGCTGGATCTGCTTGTTGCAGAAACGTGAATATCAGCTATATTAGCAGATCTACAAATAATTATGCTAGGATTAAATGAATGGAGGATATAAATTATGTATAAGCAAATAAGCTACATTAAGAACTAAGTTCCTTGGCATCGGTACCAATTTAGGCGTAATTCAGATATGCAATCCAATAGTGAAAAGCCTCTAGTATCACTACAAACACCTGTAGCTTCCAGTAATTTAGGGGCAATATCCAACCTCACTGTAAGCATACACTTACTCTAAAATGCAAGAAATAAAGGCAGATTACAAAAATATTGAGAGCAAAGGAAATTGCTTGTTTGAATTGACAATGAAAGAGGTTTTTAAACAAACTTGCACTAGATTTAACACTTCATAATCTTAACACCTTTTAGTGGTAGTAAGTATTAATGACAAGTAGCGAAGTGATGTCTTTGAGTCAGACATACTATGCCAGGTATTTACAGCAAGAGGGAAAGCACAGGACCATATGAGTATGATGAAACAGCTCAGGTATACTTTAATCAAGTAAACACCAGAGTACTATATAATCCCTGAAGGCAAAAAAGCCAACACACACGCACAAAATAAAACCCATCAAACCCACTAAAACAACAAAAACACCCCAAGAAATACAAAAACAAACCACCCACAACCCCCCCAAGCACCCCCCAAAGAAACCCCAAATGGAAATCAAAAAGTAGACACCTGAAAACAGTGTAACATATTTCCATATCTACTTTGGGAGAATTGCCCTGCCCTAAGCAGAGAGGTGTCCAAGTGAACCCAATGCAATCTGGAAGCTACTGGTGGAATCCAAATGTACTGTATTCTAACATGTAGGGCATCACTTTGTCTTTCTAGTCCATTAAAATAAATAAATCAAAGTCAGCATTCAAAGACCCCTGTACTTTGAACAGTAATGTAACTTGCTCAGATAGCTGATAGCTGAAATTAGGCAATAAGAATCCCCTAAATCAAGGGCCCCAATTTTAGTTTCTTCATAGCAGTCTCATCCTAACTACTTTAGTTTTAAAACTGTAGGTGGTTGCCTGCAGAGCCTAAATTATGTATCATACCTTTATGGTCACAACATCTGCCTGGGAGGTAAAAGGAACAAGTTTAAACTTGGTGTAGGACTGGAAGAATTAAGCTTGTGCCTCAGACAAATTTCACAGGAATCTGGTAACAGCAATGTCCATGAGAAACAACCTCTTGTGCTGCTTCATCACACAGAAAGCAAGGCTTATATTAAGCAAGGAAAAGAACCTCAGCCTAACAGTAAAGGCAGCTGGCTGAGGGGTAAGAATTAAAGATATGCTGGCTTTTAGGCACCACTGCAAGGAACTGTTTAAATCTAAAGAGCAGTGTTTGCTACAGTTTAAGGGGAATGCTTGCTCCTTTTTTCAAGCAATTGGTCCCATCTGTAGGATAAAGAATCACCTTTTTATCAGCTTTCATTTTGGTGCCATTCAGGGATCAGAATCCTAAAAATATTTATATTCTTCTCTCTGAATTGGCACCTGAGCTTCTCGGAGAAGCAAAAGTTCAGGTACTTCCTGGGAATTTGTGTTTCCTCTTGGCCAGCACTGGGCAACTGTCTACTCACTATGCACCCTTATGAATTTTTAGCTCGAGGCACCTAATGTTCTTTACATACTGTAAGGATGATTATTAGTATCTAACTCCGCATTTAAAGATGCACTTGAAGGTCAGCTAGTTAAATAAAGTATATAACTGTTTGTATTTGCAACTTCCATGGCTGTAACCCATAATCATTCTTCTAGGAATTTATAGTCTTCCTCTCAACTTGAGTAAATACCTCACTTAATATTCCAAGTGGCTGTGCTTTGATAAACAGAAAAACAATTTTAAATGCAAAAGCAATGAAAAAAATCCATATTTTCAACCTTAAATACTGCAGCCCACATAGACTGATGGGGAACAATCTACATTAATCAATTTCATGTATTTCCCCCCCCCCATCAAATTTGCATTCATGAAATAGTCTTAGAAATATTAGGCTTATAATGGAAAAGTTTATTTTAATGCTGAAATAAAGACTTAGGCTATATATATGTATATCTATCAACACCAATTGAAAGTGCTGGGGGATAGAGAAATTTCAAGTGACCTCTTTGGATGAGCTGACTTTCCCTTTAAGCAAAACAATTAGATTAAGCAGACAACATTGAGCAAACTTCTGTATTAGGTGCATTTATCACAACTTGGTTGAGGTCATCTTAGTTTCCAGCAGGAAGCACTTCAAACAGAGGTCAAGAAATACACCATGGAAAACTAAGTAGAGCTCTAAAATCACCGAAGGATCCATTCCCCAGAATCACAACTCCTTCACACTAGTTACTAACAATCCTCAAATGTTTGAGATTTGAGTGATCTAGATTATAACATTTTTCTGATCTCTAGCCAGAGATTTAACATTTATCCCTTAAGCAAAGGTGCCTTTCAACTTGCGTTATGCTTCTAATCCATAACAGATTTCTTTTAATTAAGCTGTCACTACCACACTTCTAGCTTAAAAAATGTGATCTTTAGCACTGGCATATGTTTTTTGCTTCATTACGCATTGTTTTGTCTCCATATGAGTAACCCACTGCCCTCATGTCTATTAGCTACCTAAAGTACCTCCATAACCTTTACATAATGACTCCCTGCTCGATTTCCCAAGACTGATGCATGAAAGTTAACTAATACAAAAAGACCATACAAGTCTCAAATGCGCTCAATTAGGCCCTGACTCAACTGAGAACTCCAAGCATGTCCTTACCTTGTGCTAAGTTTCTTACCATTAGCAAGTGTGGCCGGTTGTGCCACGCTAGAAGCATGTTTTCGGCTGCAAACAGCTCCTGAAAGAAGGTCCTATGGCCCCAAGTTTTTTCCCTTAAACCTCATTGAACGTGACATGGAAAGGATACTTGATTTAGATTTTGATTCTAGTTCTTTGATTTTAGTTTCACACAACTGTGTTCGTTTTAAGAGACCACAGACAGCCCCTTCAGTAGTTTTCTCAATAACCACACAAGGATCTCTGTGGCAATGCAGGGATCCCTGAACAGCTGTTCTCCACTGCAGAGCTGAAGACTGCCTTATAGGAATACTTCTCTGATTATACTTTTCCAAGCGTGTACTACTGTAGTCATTTAGCTTATAAAGCTACTCACCATAAGAGTCATATGTTTCTTCACTCAGTCCGTGGCCATAGTCATAGTAATCTGCTCCACTGTATGAGAGGAAGGAAATAGAAGAAATAAAGCAGTCACGTTTTAAGAAGCAGTGCTTATCATTACACATTCTACCTTTGAAAAGAAGAAAGCTTACAGGATTATAGACAGCGCCTAAGACAAAAAGGTAAGCACCCATGTGACAATGAGAATGTAAGTCCTGTTTGGTCATTAATTAGAAAAGAAATCATATTTACTTTCATTAGGGGTTTTTTCCCATCACTGAGCCCCCGATCCACAGTGCAAATGTGGATTTGGGAATTTTATGTTTAAAATTATATAGTTGGGAAGGTTGAAGACCTTACAAGTGACAATGAGGGAAGAGTAGGAGGTGTAGGTGCCAAACTAATCCATTTCTCAAATAAACTTCTTTTCATTACCCACTGTTGCCTAGTATTTTGCCTTTGCATCTTTGAATTCACTGACAGAAATGCAGTAAAGGACATAGCAACTATATTCTTCAAGACGAATGTACATATATGTAAATCTATCACTTTAAAAGTCAGATAAGAAGTAACAATAAGAACTGAGTTAAAAGCAGGAATTTGGGGTTGTTAGGATTCAAAAGTATGAATACCATTAACCATAGCCTAAAACAGTCTTTACCTTCATGACAGCATTTATATTTGTATTAAGACCACTGAATGGAAACTGAAGAACAAGTCCTATCACATACTACTTTCCCATTATGCTTTCATATTTCATATAGGTATAGCTATGTATAATTTTTTTACATACAAAAGTCTATTAGACTATTAGAGAACAAATGTCTATTTAACATGTTTGTACGACATCAAAACCAAGTCTAATTGTTTATTTCCTCTTCTTTCTAACCACAGCCAGACCCAGGGCTGACAATATTTGGAAAACAGTCTAAATTGATGCTATAAAGTCATTACCTTGTGAGCAAGAAGGAAATAGCTAGTATATGATCACTTACAAGTAATTACTAAAATTGACAAAATGTTTCTAGCATTAGATTGATTGCTAACAAAATAAAATTCTGAGAGAAGCAGCAATTTATAGCCTTAACAAGAATTAGCAATAATTAGTTGCATTTGGGTTGTTGGTGTTTTAGTTTCTTTTAACTACAAGGTTTTAAATCCTACAAAATAATCAAGGCCAGAATCACAGAATGGTTGGGTTGGAAAGGACCATAAGATGATCTAGTTCTAACCCCCCTGTCATGGGCAGGGACACCTCACACCAGACCATGTCACCCAAGGCTCTGCCCAACCTGGCCTTGAACACTGCCAGGGATGGAGTATTTGTCACATTTCTGGTGTATATCTAATGTGTGTGCATATATCTATATATCTATCTCCAAGAAGTGTGGATGAGTATTCATTATTGCTAATACAAGGCTGCCTAAACAAAAACTTAACCAGAATGCAGTATGAAGTGCACATACAAAAAAGTATCTGTATAAACCTAAGTGGAATAACAAGGTCAAAGTCTGAAGCATAAGAAATAACAATTTTGCCCTCCAGCAGCCAGTGATAAAAGTCTTTATTTTGACAACTAACTTAAAACTGACATTCACTATCCTTCCACACAGCACTTTATTTAAGGCTGTCATCAAGTTTAGAAGCCTATAGCAGCTGAGCCCTATCCCTGTATCTGTCAAATCTGTCAGAATGACTTTTGTAGAGTTTCATTCCATAGAAAATAGCTACTAAACAACAACAAAAACAAAAAAATGTCTTTTTACAACATATAAACTGCAAAATGAATTAAGCATCAGAAAGGAAACACTCATACTGGAATTCTATCATCTCATGACCCATCTTTATTAACAAAACCTTCAGAATTAATAATCTGTCCAAAAAGCACACATTACAGTGGGAAGACAAGTTGCCTAGTACAACTCAATACTCTGACTGCTTTCATTTGTGCTCTATGAACAATGACAATGCTCTCTGTTCAACTGTATGTTAAACAAATGCAAAAGTTCAGATAAGACAACTTAAAGCTACGACCCAAAGAAAAAGGTACATGCACATGGCTGTAAGGAGTTCTGGGTAAAAGGAAAGCATGAAGATTGTTTCACCTGCAAGAGTTCACAACCAAGACCAAAGACAATTGTGCTCTTAGAGGAATTACAGAAAGATCTAAGTACCTTACATGAAGTTACAGCTTACATAACTTCTCCAAAGCAATCACCTGCTAAAAGGAAACCCACTCGAAGGAACCCACAATATTAAGCTTATTTCCAGATTGTACATTTGAACTCATTAACTGAGATAGCCAAGGTCAATTCTGCTGTGAGGAAATAAGTAGCTATATTAAATAATTCTTCCTCTGAACAGAAGGCATGAAGTCAATGTGTCAAAAGCATCCTTGACATTTATAGGGGTTTTATACAGGTTCTCTTGCAGCTTAGCATTCCGACTGACTATTCAAGCTATCTTCCTTTAATGGCTTTATTCTGCAAGGGAAGCCCTTTCCTTCCTATTCCTTTCATTTTGACTCATAGAAAGGTGAACAAAACATTAATTTTATTCTTTACCTTATGTGCCTCCCTCCTTTCAGAACAAGGGAAAAAACATACCATGGATCCTGTCCTTTTTAACTCAGCAAGACTAAACCTGGAGTCTCCTTTGAATTCCTATGTTTTCTTATGTGAAATGTCTTGAGGCCATTTGCTTCAATCATCTTAATTTTTACTTCTGTAGGTATTTACTTTGTAGATGGAGAACTGCATTACATGGTATAGTCAGCTGAGTTTTCAAGCACCTTCCTAACCATGAAAAGTACAAGTGCAACCAACACTGGAATATCAGCTGCAATTCACATCTTCTTTACATAGAACTCTTGTTTATATCACCTCATATTTAACTTCTTTTGAATCCCTGTTCCAGCACAATGTTTTTGAAAGGGCTGACACAGAGATGGAAAAGTAAAAGGTACTTGGATTTTTCACATTAATATAAAAACCTGGAACAACCTGATGATATAGGAGGATTAGCAAACAACAATAAACCTAACTATGTCACTTCTAATTGCTGAGGGCTGGCCGTTAATCCTACAGTATTTAGAGGAAATGTGAAGTGAGGCTTACATAGTTTAAGTAACACCAGGGGGAAGCATCTCTTCTCTGTTCAAGAAACAGCCTAAGATAAAGAGCAACCTCAGATTTTAGCACTGCATCACTGATAAAGTAAAGCCTTAGAGGAGCTTTTTTATCTAGTAACACAGAGGACTGTGCTGTGGGAAGTGTCTTAAAATACTTTAGAGGTATTCAACATAAGCCTTCAAAAGGTCTTATGAAATATGACCTGAATTTCTCAGGCTTTCCTACTAAGCTGATTGTTTCTGAAAATATCTTGACAAACCATAAGACAAAAAAAAAAACAAAAACCCATATCTTTATTAAAAAAACCCCAAACCAATAGCAGTAACTGCTCTTGACACGACGGTTAAGTCTTAAGAACTCTCACCTTTTATACTGTATTAACTATTAGCTTATTCTTTCTAGACAAGTTAGAATATTCTCTTGGGACAGATAACAATGGTAGAGTTTCAACCTGACACTCATGAAGATACCAGAACAGGTCACTAGGCTGTTTTTGGGACAAGCCTAGAGCAAGCATGCCAAAAACACAGTGCAAGTGTTCAGTTGTATTTCCAAAAAAAGTAAGTAGAAATATATGGTGATTAATAAATGCAACTTCCACAGCTCTTTAGATTTGATACAGGCATCTTTTAGCATCAGTATTATGCCATTTCTGTGTTTGAAACAAAAGTAGTGTGGCAGGGAGGTTGATTGCAAAGGGGAGAATAAAAGGTCTCTGAAAGCTTAGACTTACTGGAAAAGCCCAGACTGAAGCACTGACAAACCTGGTTAGTGGGTTTAAGCACTGAGTGAATCGAAAGTTTGTCTTCAGCGATAAAACACAGACTTTGCAACCAGCTCAGCTTCTTGTAACGATTAATAGGGAAAAACAGAAAACATCTGCATTCTTTTGCACATGGACATCACAAATAACTTTGGGACTGACCCTGTTAGACAGAAGCCAGAGCAGCTTCAGAAAGTGACAAAAAAACCCCCTCCAAACACCAAGGTTTCCTTTTGCGCTAAGAGGAGCTCCACAGGCATCACCTTTGTCTTTCTACACGCTGGTCACACAGAACAGCAAAGCAGAAAGTACAAATGAGAATCTCTAGCAAGAGGTAGACCCTGACTGATATGATCAGTTCTGAATAGAACTCTCCCACAAGGACAAGCCTCTTTCTATCAGCTCTTCATGCTCAGTTGCTTCTGATCTCAAAAAGCATCCATCAACAGTGAACATGAAGAGTGTCCCAAATATTATTGTCAAGGCAACCATCACTGTAGTGAAGCTTCTTGTAACTCCATAATTGCCTCGAACACCGAGTTGAGTATGTTCTTAATGCTTCTGTGGATCACTAGAACACTGTATTCAGTAAGCAAGCATACAGCAGGACAGCATAACACCAGGTTATCAAGAGGAGATCCACATCTTTTCTTTCATCTTGTAGATAGATTCTTTAGTACACACTCACATCCCTACATCCCAGTTTATATCTGTAAAACAATGATCTCAGAAAGCAACTGATACTTATATGTGAAAGCTTTTTAAAATAGACAAATGATGCCATCTTAACTTACATCCCATTGTACTCATACAGACAACAGTAACAGCAAATTTACTACCTATAATCCTAAAAGATGGCCAGAGTGCCCTCTCAAGGATTCCCTTAGCTATCCCTATTTAGATATTACTTTTCATGGCATAAATCGTAATAAAGTTTACTTCTGAATAGTAAAATGCTCTCAGAGGCATCTGCATTCTGGTGCTACCTACTCACCACAGGACGCTACATATTTCAGGCAGAACTCTGCACAGCTCCTTAGAGCTAACAGCTTTACTATCTGAAGTGTCATTACTGCTGTCTAAACTCATTCAATCTTTTCCCCCCACTCCACTCATGTCCCATCACTCAAAACAGGAAAGGTAATAGCAAGTAGCAGAGG